AAATTAGGGAGATGAATTGGACACAGTTAGGTATTGGAACAATAGCAGACAGGCACAAAATGTAAAAACATGGCTGTGCCTTCCTCCACTCTGATGCTGCAAGGAGCTCTCAAAGGAGATCCTTAGGATGGACCTGACCTGTGCTTTCCCTCAAGAAGAAGCTGACCTGTGGCTGGTACTATTTGATTTTATGTTTCAGTTCTGTTCCAATCTTGATGCCCTTTTTTACTCTTTCAGCCTTAAAGCAAAAATGCCTGGAGAATGTCTGCAAGTCTGTGTGAGCACCTAACAGTGACTTCTGGCACCAAACCTTCAACCTGGTTTTGTTTCCAGCTTGGCTGTATTTTGAGAATCCAGGCATGTCCCAGCCAAGTCATCTGTAGAAGGGAAGGATTTCTCTTTGGAAGCAGAGAGATTTTGTCTCCTGTCAATCTGTGTAACACATCAAAGACAGAAGTTTACAATCAATGGAGGCTTCCCTGCCTGCTTCAGAGGAAAGGAAACCTATGATTTGGATTTGAGAACCTACCTTATGCCTGCAGCAGTCCTGGCTTCATATCAGTGTGTATATAGCAGTGCAGCATAGAGACCTGAGCAAAATACTGGAGGTGACTCAAACTTGGGACTCTGAGATGACAACAAGAGGATAAATTGAAAAGGCCTGACTGCACTCTAGAGAACTTTCACTATGGCATGGTACAACTGGTGACTACTTGGCTACATATAACTAATAAGACTTACAGTGCTACAGCATCAAGATTCTCTTCCAAGTTCCTAAGGCATGAGTTTGACATGTTCTTCTTGACATTGGGTTGCACATACTCTCCAGCAATAATATGGGATAATGCACATAATATATAATACATAATGCATATGGAGTTTTGTTAACACAAAAGCTCATGAACCTAGGTGTCTGGTCATTTAAGCATTGACTGAAGGACTGTATTTGAGTACTCAGTCTCCAGAAGTTAAGTTGACACCACATGGCCCAAGGCCCTCATCATAAGTCATATGTTTGCATACTACACATGCAACCTGAAATTTATTATGTAAAAATGCTCCTTTCAAATTATTTCAAGACTTTAGGGGTGATTTCTTGGGAGCTGGGAGGTCAGAACTTCCCTTGAGTATCTAATACCTGCTGAACCAGATTTTTCTGCCCACCCATATACTGAAATGGCCCCTTAATTGTATCAGGTCCCTTTTTTACTATTCCTAGTCTTCTGATTTGCCTGTAAATGCACAGTTCTGTACAAAGCACAGCTAAGCAGCTTTGCTTTCTCCAGCAGTCTATGTGGAACCCTTTGCTCTTCATTACCAAGGACAGTTTTCCCCCTGGTGTACTGTGTCCCTACTCTCTCACCACAGATCTCTGTCTAAAGCATTCTTTATTTTCATATTCCAAAAACTAAACAGTCCCTTCTTCCAGAAGATAGTCGGATGCTCTGATTCTTTGTGTGAACAGGAAGGTGCTCAGAGTATAGAACTTGGACTTGGTTGGAGAAGCAGTATGCATATTCCCATTCAGATAAACAGAAAGGTTCATTGTTAGTCTGAACACTCGACTTTTCATATCACACAGCCAACAAGTTCATAAATACCTGTTGATATGATTTTGGGGGCTAAGAAATGACCTTTGAGTTTGCAAAGATGAGGTAATTGCAGCCAGTATTGTAAGGAGCAAAAAGGATGTCCACCTCAATAGGAGTCAAAGAGATGTCCCTTTTAGTATATTTAAGTTAATTTGGCTGGGTCATTTTTTAATGGACAAAGTTCACATCAATTAAGGGCTTTTGGCAGGAAAGAGTAACAGGCCTCAAGACCTTAGCACAACTGACACCATGTTAGAGGCACCATTCTGACCTCAGAATCCAGCAATGTAGACCCCCATTACCTGCCAAAATGGAAGCCAAGTTTTAATCCATTAAAGACCTAAGCCAGGATCTGTGGAAGTAGCTAAATATACTGATCTTACTTTTTGACTTGTAGTTTTCTCACTAACTGCTCTTGGTAACTGAAGCGTGTCAACCAATCTATAGTTTTTATGCATAAAAGGCAAAAAAATAATAATAGTAGGAATCAGGGCTGCATGATTTGGGTAAATTCCCCATGCAGTTATAAGTTGACAAAACAGACTTTCTGTTCAGCTTTAGTCTGTCTGTTTGTTCTCTGGTGGAATTATCTCACAACAATAGGACGCCCAAAGTTTTCCAGAAAGCAACTTATCACCTAGGATGGGCTAACAGTTCAAGCCTGCATACAAGGCTGTTTTCTTGAGGAGAACCCATGTGAACTCGACTACTCTCCTTACTGAAAATATTAACCATGACTATACTTTGACAAGACTCAAACATGAAGTACTTCAGAAGCTTGTGTTGGAACCTGATTGTGTGTTTAGACAAGAGCTCAGAGGTCAGTATGAGACCAGTTCTCTACAGTCATACCTTCTGTGTAACAGAACAATGGTGGAAAGCACACAAAGTCCACATGCAGACTGCTTGCCCAATAGTCAAGTCTGCTGGTCTCCCAGAGCCTAAGAAAGACTTAAGACAAGTATATCTTGACTTTTATGTGATAAGGAAGAAGAGTAGCAAGCCTCAGGAGATGACATAGAACTGGGATTTTAATTCATGGATATATGGCTACCAGTGCTTCACTGAGTAGGTAAAGTAGATGAGTCATTTGTATGCTCCAAATACCAAAAAGATTGTGTGGTTGCCTGGGCAACTTCGTTACACTACACTTTTTCTGGAAGGAAAAGGAGGAACTTTTCTGTGTACTCCATGTCCCAAAGGAAAAGCTAGGTTGGCAAGAGAAAGAGTGGAAGAAAAGAAAATGGAAAGTAGTAGCAAGAGGGAGTAGAGAGGGGTATGGAGAGAGAGAGAAGGGGGGAGCAAAAAGATAAGGAACATGTGTGTGCGTTTCAGTCCCAAAGCAAGTCTCTGTGTAATTGCATGTATTTTCCTCTTTCTGCAAAGTGTAGTTCTGGGCTTGTGTGAGTAAGGAATTTAGCTGCTTTCATAGTGGAATCTGTATTAAACTCTTACTGAGAACAACTTTATCTTCTGTGTTTCTAGGGAAACTTAACTTTCACTCTATTCTACCAGAGGAAAATAGAAATTTATGTCTCTAGACAATATTTAGTATTTTGGAGATGTCTAGTTATGCTGTTTAGATGGTCTGGTAGGGATTGCCCCTGGCATCCAGTAGGTGCATGGGCAATCTTTTAGTGCCCAAGACATTGCTCAAGGAAAAGAATCTTTGACCATGTGTATTAATAACAGATTATAAAATGCATTCTTAGTGTTGGATATGTTTACCCCCTTGTGGAAAAATTGCCTGAGAGAAAATCTTAAGTAGGAACAATTTGTCTCAGCACATGGTTTCTGAAGATTTAGACTTTGCTTTGCCCCGTGCAATTGGCACATTGGAAGTGCATAGCAGAGAGGGGGTTTTGCCCCCTGGCCAACTAGAAGCAGAGTAAGAAAGAGAGGCAAGGAGGTAGAGAAGGAAAGGAGAGAGAAGAGGGTGGAGAGACAGAGACATAGAGAGAAAGATACTGAGACACAGAAAGACAGATAAAGACCGACAGGCAGACAGACAGAAAAACAGTCAAAGAGCCAAGAACAAGATCTGTATGCTAGTAATCTGCTTAGCTGCTTCCTCTAGATAGGTCCTACCTCCCAAAGTTTCCAACATCTTTGAAAAGAGTGCCACTAGTTGGGGACCAAGTGCTCACTACACTTGCCTATTGTGGATCACAATTTATATTTAAACCATAGCATTCTTTTACAGACTATGGAAGAAAATCTTCTAATCTCCAAATGTCTAGAATTTCCCTCCTAGGTAGGTTGCTAATGCCTTAGCATCATTTAGTATCGATGTTCTTGAGATTCATAGAGTACCGGTTTGGCTGTTTTGAGACATGTGGCCCACTGACTTGGCAGCTTAAGAGATAGTAGCTCATCTGTGTTTGTTGAATAAGACTTAAGCAAATATAGCTCAGACCCTCACTGCATCTGAATGGCCTAATGACAAAAACAGACAGATGTTCCAACACACAAGGACAACTTGTATGTGGAGAAGCCCTCTAACGGAGTCTGTTGGGAGCAATCATCTGGTTAGTTCTGCTCCTTCAAGAGGCAAAGTTGGAGACCATAGCTCAGAGGGTTCATGGCCAGTATGACTTGATCTGTGTCAAATATGATAGGACATGTGAAAAGGGACAAACACCTCTGTAAACACTTGCTTCTCCATTCTCTCCTCCTAAGAGTACACAGACTTCCTGCTGTGATGACTGTAGAGACAAGGACAAAGTCCTCATGACCACTGGTGGCACACTATTGGGAAGGAAAGCACTCAATAAAGAATTATGCAAAGAAAGGAAGACTCTGAAAATCCCCTGAAGCTTACAGTGCAGTAGGATGACCTCCATATAGCAGACATGAAAGCCAAGATGGAGCTCAGTAGAACTGGCAGTAGAACCTAGGTTTATAAAACCTAGGTTTAATAACCCAGTTTAATTATAAAGCCCCATTTGACTATACCCCATAACTTGGATAGAAAACTATAAAGGAAAGAGAAATCAAATCCCCCTAAGGAGTCACTGTCGCAATGACTAGGCAAGACAAAGCCTGCCTTTTTCCTAGCAAGGGAGCCTGTGACTTTCAACATCTTTCAGCCTCCAGAGTTGTTCCCTTGTGATCTTCAGACATAATCAGAGAGTCTCTGAGACATTGCAGTGGGGTGGGGTGTGTGGAACAAGGCAGTCATTGTTCTTTAATTAGAGCTCGGGTCTCCTCATGGGGCTCAAGATGGAACTGTTTAATATAGAGCCTTCACCTGTGCCAAGGCATAGCATTATGATACCTCCTCCCCTCCCGTGCAGCCCACCTGTCAGAGTGTATGAAAAGCTCTTGGTATGAGTCTGGGAAGGTGCTCACGTGACCAGGGGTCTTTGCCTGAGATATAAAAGACCCTGTTCCCATTTCCTCAAAGCCAAGCAACTCTGGATCATTCAACAGCCTTTGAGTGGAGCTTCACTTCACAGTAGGTACCTACTTCTTGTGGTGGTATAAAGAGATAGGGAGAAGAGGATGAAGGAGAAATGGGAAAGGGCAAGGAGGCAGAGTCAGAGAGATGAAAGAAATAGATGGAGGAAGATGGAGATGAGTGGAAGAAGGGAGAGAAGGAAAGAAGAAAGAAAAGAAAACTAGATGGCAGAAGTGGATGTGTAAAAGGGGGGCATAAAGAAAGAAGGGATGGGAAGGGAAGAAAAGCCAGGTCTTTAGCACTGTGTGAGTCCTGGATAGTACTCAGGATGTTGCTGGACTCCAAAGGCACTCTGGGTCCTGGTAGGAGATGCAGTGCCAATTTGACAACACTTGCTAAACTGCTTTGCCCAACCTCCCTACCAAACACACTACTTCAGCAAGGGTTCCATAAGCCTGTGGCTCTATGCCACAACTATGCCTAGGGAACCTTCAGTGGGTCAGTGGTCCTGAGAACAGAGTTCCTGCCTTGTAACTCAAGGCAAGATTCTTCTGGGTCAATTCCAGGAGTTCCAGACAAATTGGTACTCAAAAATGAGCTCGATCCATCCAGCAACAGAGCCTGGCTGGTCTAGCCCAGTCAGCATAGTCTGCTTCCAAGATACAGTCAAGTAGCCACAGGATAAGTTATCAGGATGTGGCTTGGATTCTTCTGGGGGATGACCACAAAGGGCAGTCTCAGAGTACAAGATATAGACCTCCTGACAGAATTGTAACAACCATCAGGAGGCTGCTTGGTTTTGGATCATGTGGCTGACAAGACAGCTGAGGGTGGAATCCACAGAGCAAAGGCTTAGATGAGATTGGTTAATGGTTTCAAGCATGGACACTGGCAGGCATGTTGCTTCCCTTGTGCCTGCACAACCTTTAAATGCAATTTGGTGTGTTGATATTTAACTGAGCCTCAGTTAAATGGAAAAGGAAAATATTTTTGTTTTTTTAAGGTTTTGTTTCTAGACAGTGCATGGAGCATGCTCAGTGGGCCATGTGACACAAAAAAATGATCAAATTCATGCAAGGAACAAGATCCACAAATTTATAGCCTAGTTAAAACTTTGTATTAGGATATGCATGACATTATATATAAAATATGTAATATATATGTGTAAATTTACCATCTTACCCATTTTCAGTGGACAGTAGCATGAAGTAAATCTTTTATTTTGTTTGTATTATCATCTCCACTGTCCACTATCAGACTATTTCCCCTTCCCAAACTGGAACTCTGTACAAAAACCTCCCCGCCACTCTTTACTCTCTCCTCTCTGATAAGCAGTTTCTTAAAGTAGAATAGTGGTGGATCCATGCCTGATGATTCAGTGGCTTTTATTATTTGCACTCCCATAAATCCTATGAGGTAGAAGTCAAGTAGTCTTCAGCCTATGTAGCCTGAGATGCAGAACAGCTGGGAGAGCGAACTCCTGAGACCTGGCTCAAAGGTGGCTGCTCTAACTGGAACCCTACTTTATCTCCCAAAGAAGGGCTTCAGCACAAACAGGGAACGGACAGGGAACAGCATGAGCCCTTGCCTACAATGCAGTCAGCTACTGAAATTTCAGTCCCTGTTTTCATGAGCAGCTTCTGTACTTCAGTATCACAGTTTGGGGGTGGAGATGAACTCACTTGGGCCCTGTAAGACCAACCAGGCAGGTGCTACCCCTGTAACAGTGCTGGACTGGGAGTCAGGCACAAGTGGGACCTTTGTGCTATAATTCATCAGTCTCCAAGCTTCAAAGATTTCATCCTAAAACTTGTAATTTGACTAGATGATACCCATGCATGAGCCTTCCAAGTTAACTAACAGTGACCATAAGACGCCATCAGCGCTAGACGGTGACTGGATTACCCAAGGTATGGTGGCCTCAGTCTTGTGAGTTTTAATTTTAAAAAGGGTCTCCATCCCTCTCCTCCTGAGAGGCGTTTGCTGCACACTAGTGGAGGTCCTTAGAACAGTCCTTTTGGAGACTTGTCTCATCCTCCATCCATTTCAATCTGGCTCCAGCCTGAATAGGAGGCAGTCAAAGCTGACTGAAAAGCGTTTAGGAGAGCTTTTAGGATGGCGATAGATTGTCTGTTTTAGGAGATGAGTACAAGCAGAGTGTTGTATTAAAGGAAAATCAGACAGCAGACAGTTACTAGAGGGCTCTCAATTCACTCAGGATTCTCAAGCATTCGCTCCTTGCGCTTTCGTTCCTATAGTACCCATCCATTTTGCAGCCACCAGCAGCCATGCTAGAAGCAAGTTTGTAGGACAGCCACCTTGCAGTCCACAGCTCTTCTCACTCAGGACTCTCCAGAGTAAACTGAGTTCACAGGCAGGGTGATCTCAGCATGACAACCCTTAAACTGTGGCATACCTCCTTTACCTCTAGAGAAGCACGTATAAAAGTGCTCTGCAGAGGGCATACTTGAGAGTCTAGCCTAGTTGTTTGGGGGTTTCTGTATGCCGTCTTCGCCAAGCACCTTCGTGCAATACACAACATCTACAAATCTATCCAGCAGCCTGGAACATGCTTTACTGTCATTCGTACAATGTCCTGAAATCATGATCTAAAGCAGAATATGCACAAATCAACCAATCATTTTCCACAGCTTAGGGGATTATAACTAGGGAGAAAATTATTCTAAAAACCCTCTGATCTCCTGCCTCCTATTAACTATACAGTTGTTGGGCATTAGGGTGCCTATTGAAGTCAAATACTTGGTGATCTGAACACAAGAAACTACAATGAAAGTGTGGCAGGGTTCCAGGACTTTTGTTCCCACCTTGTTCCTTTGTCCCCAGAGCAGCCCCTGAGGGTATCCATTGATATTCTAGGACAGCAACCAAATAATCCAGGTGGCCCAAAACCAAAGAAAAGTTGAGATGCTGTGCTTGGGAGGGGGGGCAGCATTTGTTGGCAGGCAGCACCACCATGTGGTCACCAGACTTATTCATATCTGCAGTGGTATTGATAGGGTTCAAACCCACCTCTCTCGTGCGAGGTCTGCTGTAAATGTTTATGAGATAAATGAGTGAAGAAACAATACACTGCCATGTCTTCAGGGAGAACATGGCTAACTTACCATTTTACAGTTGGATAAGCTGAGTTACTATGGGGAACATTGTCTCTTCCTTTCAAAGTGCTAGTTAGTGTAGAAGCTGGGACAGAAACCCTTTCAGAAATTTGGTCTTTTGGCACAAAGGGAGTATGAAGCTTCTGGTGATTCTCATATGGGGTTTTTAAAAGTCATCCTTGTCATGTTTTGCTGGCTCTCACAGGAAGCTGCTCTAGTCTATGCCTACACCCTGTCCTCTAGACTGCCACAATGGCCATGCTGCTCCTGCTCAGTATGCTGATGGTCCCCTATGTTGGTGAGTACTGTTTCTCCAGTTTAGCATTTGGTCACTTCACAGGAATGCAGGGACGTTGTATTGGCCTCCAGCTGACTTGCTCATTAGCTCCTCTCCATTCCTCTGCCCAGTGACTGAGGGGAACCAAATATCAGTATTAAGTTATAGAGTTAAGGTTAACTATTTAAAACCCTGCTCAGAAAATCCCAGCATAGAGAATGGGAAGTGGACACTCAGACCCACCCTGTACCAAGATACTATTTGGAATTGATTTTTACTTGGAAAATCAAATTCCTCCAATGTAGTGTCACTGAGCATATTAAACACTTCAGAGAGGTCCCATGCCCAGAAGTAGCTAACAATGAAATACAGGCTTCATGTTTTAGTTGCTTTTGTTGGTTGTGTGCATGTGGGGTGTGTGTGTGTGTGTGTGTGTGTGTGTGGTGTGTTTACAGTGTGTGTTGCATGTGTGTTGTATGTGATATGTGTGTTATGTGTGTGGTATGTGTGTTATGTGTATATAGTATATGTGTTGTGCGTGTTATGTGTGTGTTATGTGTATGTGTTGTGTGTGTGTGTGGTGTATTTATAGTGTGTTGTGTTTATAGTGTTGTGTGTATGTGTTACATGTGTTGTGTTTGTTATGTGTGTTGTGTACGTTATGTGTATGTAGCATATGTGCTCTGTGTGTAGTGTGTGTGTGTGTGTGTGTGTGTGTGTATGTGTGTTTGTGTTTGTGTATGTGCTTTGTTTTTATATTTTTGTCTTTCTGGGGATTTTTGCATGTTTATGTTTACCTTTGCTTTTTGTTTTATGTTCTTTTTTGGAAAGAGAGGGAGAGAAAAAGAGAATGTGAAGTTGTGTTGGTAAGGATGTGGGAAGGAGCTGAGGAATGAAAGACAGTATGATCACGGTAGATTGTATGTAAAAAATTAACGAAAAAAGATAGAAAACCCTGTCCAGAACTTAAAAGTATTGGCTAGGGTTCAGGATGGAGGAGAGTTGGGCCAAAAACAACATGTCTTGTTGGTTAGCTCCCTCCTTCCTTCTAGGAGTGTAGTTCCTCTCCCCTCTGGTTGTGAGCTACTACATATCCCCCTCCAATTTGTTAATTCCTTGGGTCACGTTGGCCTTCCTAATATGAAACAATATTCTTTTCATCTCTGTGAGCATATGAACCACTAAGGCAAACATTTCCATTCCTTACACACCAGCCAAATGGAAGACCCTTAAACTCCTGTCTCATTTAAACACATAAATCCATTGCTTTCCTTCCTCCAAGGGGGCTCCCATCACTTGCTGATCTGGCCCCTTGTTCTTTGTTCCTTGTTTTCTCGTGTTCAGAGACACTCTCAGCCTATACATTGTCTCTGAGAGGCGCTTCATGTATCTCCTCCAACAGCAGAGACAATGGCACCATGTATTGTGCATATGCGTCATTTATGTTGGCCAAGATCCAAGCAAGCAGATGAAACACATGAGGCTTGCATCTGGCTGAGAAGCACATAAGTTGAGAATGACAATGGCAGTCTAACGATCAAGAGAGGACTCCAGCTCTTTATTTACAGATAAGCCTTCCCGATGGAACAGAACTGGCCAACAGCTTGTTCCCTGGCCTCCATCCATATGCTTTTTCCAGATTAAGCATTCTTGTCAGGATTTGAATCCCCTCATATTTTTAAAAGCTTATTCTCCTTGGTAGCTATCACTTTCTTCTTTCTAAAGAGTAAATTTCCTTTTGCTCCAAGCTGCCTTTTTTATGTGTATCATTTATATATTTTTTCCCATAAAATTGTGACCAATAAATATTTCCTTCTGTTATTCTTGTTTTCTTTTACCTCCTTTATCCCTTGACAGTTACACTTCAATAATAAAGTGAAAATTGATATCCTCTATTATGAGGAATCATTTGACAAATATTTTTATTGTTCTCTGGGAGATGTTTACTCTCAAACACAAACACTTGGCTTTGGAAAAATGACAGCCATAGACATTCAAAGTGCCAACACACAAATCTGTGTGTGGATTTGAATGTGTTCTGTCCACACCCCCAGTTTTTGTAGGGCCTGCCACTACTGAGATGCTGTTGCCTAACCAACCAACTTGCCAGATCTTAGATTGCTAAGGGATATTTCAGAGGCTCTGCTGAAAGGACTGAAAGAAATGTATTAATCTGTGTCTCCTGAGAAATAGAGACTAAGGCCTTATCATTCGCAAAAAAAAGTCTCTCATCAGAAGAAACATCCAAAAGAAGTGGAGCAGCAAGAAAGAAGGTCCAGCTCTGCAACAAGGGAGAGTGGGGGTAGTGTATGTGTTCTGGGGCTGCAGCTTGGTCTGAAGACAGTCTGGAAAGACCATCTAGGAGAATCTACCTGAGCAGTCCTGAGTCCCCAGAAACCAGGTCTGCTGGTATATCTGCTGGCAGTTTATTGGGCTGGAGAGAACTGCAGGGACTATGAAGGATGAGGATGATAAGACCTGTCTGAAGATGCCATAGCACCCTCAATAAGCTGAGCTTCAGTCCCCAAGAGATAATATCTGTATCTGTTCCTCAGGTCACTGAGGTACAATTTCAAAATGCCCTATTCGTCATGTTATTTTTCCATTCCTGTGGAAGAGCACTTGAGAAAAGCCAGCTTTGGGCATAGATTTAGGGGCCGGCGAGATGGCTCAGTGGTTAAGAGCATTGGTTGTTCTTGCAGAGTACTTGGTTCAGTTCCCAACACTGACATGGGGGCTCACAACCATATGTAACTCTAGTTTTAGAGAATCCTGTGTTCTCTCTGACCTTCATGGCCTCTACAAATGTATGGTATAGATAAGAGCAAATATTAACATAAATAAGATACAATATTTTCTTAAAGTTCCATACCCCCCCTTTTACTTAAAACCACTAGCTGGGAAGTGGTGGTGCATACCTTTAATCCTAGCACCCAGGAAGCGAAGGCAGGCAGATCTCTGAGTTCAAGGCCAGCCTGATCTACAGAAGGAGTTTCAGAACATCCAGGGATACACAGAAATATCTTGTCTTAAAAAAAACAAACAAAATATATTACTTTACATAAAGATTCTATAATTCTAGTAAGTAACCACTCATTGCCATTCAGTGTGTAGTTCTATTGTTATATATCTATTCCTTCATTCACCAACAAATATACCAAGGTCTGTATGTTCTCTTTCTCATATACATAATGTCCATCATACACACACACACACACACACACACACACACACATTTTAAATCTGATGATACTGTCAGGCAACCCACATGCTTTATATCTTTTATGCAAAATTGGCACAGGTAAATTCAAGGATTTGTCTGTGGCCAATCTCATTCCATTGGCTAGCACAAGATCATCCATATTTCTCCCATGATAGGATAAATAAGATAAAGCCCACCCCATTCATATACCTTTAGACACCATGGTTTAAGGCAAGGCTTTTAGAGAATTGTCTTCAGAATCAACTGAAGACTTTGCGAGACCTGAGCCAGTCTTAGATCATATTGGTTGGATCAAAATGCATACTGACCCTGTATCAAAGAGATCTGGATCCTAATAATCAGAGGTCAACCTTGCCTGTAAATATAATTCCTTGGGAACTGAGGTCTTGTCTATGTCTTTACTTCTTTCTGATGATTCTTTATTTCCAGAATCCTTCAGACAACAATCAGTTTCAATAACACTGTAGCTTCTCATGGGAGCACAGATAACCATGTCTCTTTCTCCAGAGTCAGAATGCAACCATTAAGATCAACCACTAGGAAACACAAGGGGTCTTCATGCTGCCTCTTTATTTCCTGAGATTCCCCTAGATTGAGCACAGCATATGTATTACAAAAACCCATGGGGGATTGAATTGGGGGTGGGAGGTATCCTCATTGTCTTCTTGTTTGTCACCTCTCAGCCTTAGCCCAGCAAAGAACAGCACAATGTTTGTGCTAACTTTGCGCTTTCTGTGTCTGACTTACTTCCAGGGGGCCATGCTCTGGACACACCAAATCCCCAGGAATTGCCTCCAGGACTGTCAAAACATATCAGTAAGAATTCTTTGACCTTTGCACAGAAGCTAAGTAAAATGTTGTCTAGGATGCCAGCAGAGACAATTACCTTTCTTGAACATGCCCTGGGATCCTAATGCTTTAGCGTCTGCAAGTAGTCACTTAGATGGTCCTCAAAAGTATCTCTCCAGCCTTTCCTCCTGATGTCTCATGCTTTAGTGCTCTCTCAGCTGAGCCTGATTTCAGTGGAAATACTAAACCAGGAAAGATAGTAAATGGAGTGGCGTTGAGGGTTACTGTAGGGACTAAATCTTAGCTTAAAATACAATGTTTGGATGTAACAAATAATGAAAAAAAAAGTGGCTTTGAATCTGAAAGAGAACAAAAAGGGGTCTATGTGACCATTTGGAGGGAGAGGATGGAAGAGAAAAATTTGGTAATTATATTATAATCTCAAAAAAAGAAAAAAAATTAAATGCATTCTAGGCTTCCTGGTAAGAAAGAAATGAATGACATATTGCAGAATCCTGGTGCAGTGCTTGTTCTTTAGTGAAGAGTTCATTGGGATCCCATCACTGTGATAACTCTCATAACTGTACACTTCCCTGCTGGATATCCTAAGTATTATGTCCATAGGCACCACACCTTGGCTTCATGCATTTATCCGCTACTGTACGTCTCAGTTGAAACGACTGTACCACCCAGAAGTCATTGTTCTTCTTTATTAGTGAGCAAGGTTGCCTAGGAATATTGCTTCAATCCCATCAGTGTTGGTTTCCATGGTGACCCATGTTACAGGAAAGTTAGCTTAAGTCTAACTTTGTTCTTAGGAAAAGAGGAAAGGTTTAATATCTCTGCATAGAAAGAGAAATAGAGGCCAAACTAAGACTTGTGTTTGTCTTCCTTCTACTTAGATATCACTTTCTTCAATGGGGTGTTTAAAAACGTGGAAAGTGTGGCAGAAATTTTTGGTAAGTGAAATCTGAAGTTGCTTTCATCCATTGAGGGTCAGGACTGATTAGGTGTTGGAAGCCAGAAGAAATAACTAGGGACTTTCTGTCTCTGCTGTCCTTGGCCTCCTCAGTCAAGTGCCAGCATGTAGTTAGCATCTAAGAAGTCAGGGATGCTATGGAAGGCACATCAGAGAGGGAATTTGCGCCTTCATTTTTCTTGATTCCTAGTTCTGGAAAGAGAATGGGATCCCAGTTGTACAAGCGTGGATGCTGAACCCATGAGAGCTATGTGTATTCCTCCAGATGGCAGAGCAAAAAGGGAAACGTTCTGTTTTGTTTGTTTGTTTGTTTGTTTGTTTTGTTTTTCTGGATATTTTATGTATTTAGATTTCAAGTGTTATCCCCTTTCCTGGTTTGCCCTCTGGAACCCTCCTCTCCTATCTCCCCCCACCCCTGCTTCTATGAGGATGCTCTCCCTCCCACTCATCTAAGGGAAACATTCTTCATGCCTAGATTTTAATCCTCTATGTTAATGTGCTTTGGTTTCCTCTTCCAACTAGCAAATATATGTGAATCTTAAAGATTTCAAAGATTGTCAGACAATCCACGCGTGTTTCATTTCAATTATGCAACTATTGATACACCATGAGGGTTGCTACCATCAGAAATGGCCAATGCCTATCAAATATTGCCTCTCAAATTAGGGCCACTGAAGCCTGTTGTTTGGTTAGAAGAGGCTGGGAATGGGACCTACAACTCCATATGGATGCCTTGGAGGTCTTTCAACGAAAATGCACATCTGTGTAAGCGTGCATGTACACACAAACTTTAGGAAGGTTTCCAACAACACTGAGTCATTTTTTACTTAGCAGTGAGACCTCATGGGAACAAATCATGAGAAGGGAAGGGGAGTTTGAATGAGGTAGAAAGAAACCAGAACCGGTAAGTGGAACTGGTGCTCATAGTTCCTTCTGTCGTCTTGTGTACTCTGATTGGCAGTGGAGGGTCACCTCCTTCAGCATAGAATGACCCTCTCATCTAGAGAAAAGCAAAGGATGGGAATGTGAAGCTTGAGGTTTAGAGTTGAAATGAGCAGTGCTTTTCTTACCAGTGTATGTGCTGTGCGCCTGAAGGTAGAGCATCAGGTGGTGCCTTGAGCGTGGTTCTGACTATTGAAGCCTTTACCTCTCATGTGGAGGCAACAGAACAGTGCTTTCCTGGCAGGATTTCTGTGAAGTTTATTGCATTGAAGACAAAAGCTTTGTAATATTCCACATGTATGAACTATTGTGGAACTGTTGGAAATATCTAGTGCAGTTCCTGATGCAAACTAGATGTTCAAATACTGTGTCTACATGCCCTTCCTTTCTGCTTTCTACACTAGCTTATAATTTTATAGTTTTATCACCGAGCCACTAGAGATTCGCTCAGCAAACTAATCATTCCATAGATCATAATGGCATGTCATATTTTTAATTTTTATGTATTCTTCTATCATATACTATGTACCAATCAAAGTTTCCTCTCAAACCTCTTCTCCAAGGTCCTCCCCACGAAACACCTCTCTTCCAAATCTATTCTCAAGTTTCTACTTCCAAAAAGCACAGGCTTCTCATGGACATCAACCAAACACGACATGCCAGACTGCAGTAAGACTAGGCACCTCCCTTCATACTAAGGTTGGACTAAGAGGAAAAGGGTCCTAAAAGCAGGGAAGAGTCAGAGACAGATCCTACTCCCACTGTTAGGAGTCCCACAAGAACACAAGCTATACAACCATAACATGTGTGTGGAGGACCTAGGTCGGAACTATGTAGGCTCCACAAGTCTTCAGTCTCTATGAGGCCCTCTGAGCCCTGGTTAGTTGATTCTATGGGTGGTGTCCATGTGGTGTCCTTAGGTTCACACAGCAGTCTGAGTGTAGCAAGATGGGTAGATGGGTGCGTGAGCTGTGTACACATAGCAGAGTCCCTCCCTGCAGGTCAAAGGGTTTTCTTTTGGCTTTTTTATATATTCAGATAGATAGATAGATAGATAGATAGATAGATAGATAGATAGATAGAT